TAAAAATAAAAATAATTTTAAATAAGATAGAAAAATTGAAATTTAAAATAAGATATGAATTTATTAAAATTTATAAGTATAAAATATATTTAATATGAATACTTTTTAATAAAAATAAATAAAAATTGAGTCATACGGTTCAACTAGTGACCCACCGGTTCAACCTTTGACCCACTGACCCAGTACCTTAACCGGTTCGATGACCGGTCCGGTTTTTAAAACTATGCTTATTAGAACAATAGGATCATAAAAGAATTAAAACAAAACTCTCAAAATTAATAACATGAACCAACTCCTAAACTAGTCTTAATTATGTCCCAATATCACATGACCTATCAAAGCATAACCCATCATTGAAGACTAGGTCTCACCACTAACATTCTCAGCACCATGTTGATAATTACCTAGAGAAATCACAAGAAAACAACATAAAAGAAAAAAGAGTGAAAAACATCTCACATTGTCTCATAGTATAGGAATGTAAACCGACTAGCAAAATACAAACAATGCATACAACAAGATATACCATACACATATAACATTATCTTAATAGTTGTTTAGTTGTAGCATGCACCAATAATAGAATCATTCCTCTTAATTCATTCATAGCATAATAAACAATATCATATAAGATTATAATATATTATGCAATGAACACCAATATATCACAAATATTGACTTTATGTTTCTTATTATATAACAAGAAGTGGTTTATATTCAAGCCATTTGCAATGAGACTTTTGAAACCACAAGAGCTCCTCTCTTACCAAAATCTACTCATATTTCGCGCAAAGCTTGCCTTAAAGCTTATCTAGATAAGGATTAGGTCCCTGTAACATATTTTGAGTAATACCACTAAGCCTTCGAAGAATCCACCTTTTAGCATAGAAAATGTTTCCAAAAGTAGATTTATTTTGATCATGTAGAAAAGACTCTAAGTGACCCAATCTATAATTCTTATCACTTGAAGATTCATATCGCGTCAAACAACATTCAAAAAATTATGATAAAGGCCTTCTTTGTGTTTTGTGATGGGGAAACAGCAACACAATAACAACACAGAGCAAACTCAAACAGTTATCGTAGTGGAAATAAATTCCCCAAACTTGCAAGAATCTGTAAGGAGCAACAACCAATGAACAACAATAATAAATCACCAAAATCACACACAGAGACACCAAGATTTTTAACGTGAAAAACCCCTCAAAGTAAGGGTAAAAACCATGAGTCGTCCAGACCAAAGAAATAGCTCCACTATGATCAACAAAGAGTACAAAAGAGTCTCAATCAACTGCACAAAATAGTGCTAACACCCAACCAAACAACAAAGCAATAAAGCTTACAAATAGAGAACAAAGAAGATGAAAAACTCCAAATACACAGCTATAGTGCGTACTGAATATCTCCCTACTCAGACCTCGTTTCAACGATCCAACAGGTCAGAATGAAGAACCGGATCACGAACCTGCTGTCCAATTTTCAGCCCGATCCAACGGTGATCGAATCTGAAGTATCGATTTTACTGTCGCAGCCCTGTGTAAAAACGAGAATGATTTTCTCTCTTTCTCTCTCTCAAAGTGCTGGTGTTCTAAGTGACTTCTGACTTTCCCTCTTTCTCACTCTTGTGCTTCAGACTCTCTCTCCACTTAATTAAGTGAGACATCAAGTGGACTTCTCAATTTTGAGCATTTTCTCCACATAGAAAGGGAGTCCAATACCCAACATTTTGTTCTCCAACACCATGTTGAAACTTAACTAGGATAAGACTATGATTCTATTTAAGCAGGTTTAGATGAAAAATGTTAGCTTTTGGAAACATGATATGCCAATCAACATTAATGAGAAAATGATTCAATCTTACTAGAAGCAATCCTTTTTGCCAAGTAAAAAGGGCCCCTCGGAACCCAATGTTGATCAACTTACACTCATGCACTGCATTTCTAAAGTTATTATCCCCTCTACGAGATGAAGATGTGTTATAATCACTTCATTCGTGATCACACAAAACTGCATTAAAGTCTCCAATAACACTTCAAGATTTATCTATCCATGCTAATCGACCAAGGTCCCTCCATAAACTTTATCTAACCTAAAAACAGTCTAAGCATAATAAGATTAAATCTCTTAATAATTTTGCATGCACAAATTTTAAGTAAAGGAATGAAATATATACTAAATTAAATATCGAAGTTAGGATCTCTATGAAATACTCAAAAAAATATAACAATTTTATAAAGTATAAATTTTATAAAATATAAAATATAAAATATAATTAAATTATGTAATCGGTCATTCCCATATAAATTCTTTTTTTATTTGATTGATAGGGACAACAAATAATAAATTATAACAAATTAAATATATCTATATCTATATCTATAGATAAATATAGATATATTTTTTAAAAAATAAAAATAGAAGAAAAAAATATATAAATATATCTATTTCTTCCATTACTAAAGTTTTTAAAATATAAATGTAACTCATATAAAAGTACACATCAGCTTTATCAAATTTATTTTATTGATTTTTTAAAAAATTAAAAAATGAAAGAAATGGAAAAAAAAAAATAGAGAGAGTATGCATTTTGTTTAAATACCCACTTGTCATTTTTTTTTACCTTTGCTTAATTGTAAGCAATTCTTTTAATAGTTAGAACAAAAGAATTACGCAATGGATCATAGTCATAGCTATCTTAAATAGATACCTAATGAATAAAATTAATATTTAAATAACATTTATAAAACAAACATAAATTTACCGAGCAAGATCTAAGTACTACAACCTGATCTATAAAAAAAAAAAGAAATCAAATAGAATCCTAGGTGGCTGACGCTTCTAGATAAGTCCAAGTTGTAGTAATCAAAGATGAGGCTGTGTTTGTCACATGGGTGCAGTCACCATAAGATCGTGTGTGAAAGCAACTTTGATTTAATGTCGGCCAGGTAGGACCGTTTTGGTTAATAAAACACTAATCCCACGTAATAAAATTAACAAAATCTGATTCATGAAAGAGGGTCCTGTAATGTTATATACATTTCTTTTACCACAAGGTGGATTCTATGGGACATGACTGAATAAATGGACATGTACCGGTAATTGCCAAATTAGACAAAGACCGTCCTTCTTTAATAGTGCGGTTAAGATACCATAAGGCAGGCGCATGGCGGAACTACGTTTTTTTTTTTTTTAATTTTATTTTTATTTTTTATAAATATAGTTCACTTTAAAACTAATAATTAAAGATTAATTTATACTTATAAAATATTATATACATATAATTATAAATTATTTTGATAATGTGAAATACAGTAAAAATAATAATTTATAATAAGAGTATCATCTCTATAAATTTACGTAGATTTACTTTCTTTATTTTTTTAATTAGACATTTTAATTTTTTTTTCTTTTATCTATATCATTAATAAAGAAAATATTTTTTCATCCTAAATGATTGAATTAGGGATGACAAATATATCCGTGCCCGCGGGTAATACCCAAATCTGTCCCGACTTTGATGAGGAATACCTGATTTAACAGGGTACGGGTACAGGTAAAACTCGATATATTAAATCGAGTACAGTTACGGGTACAGGTATGTACTTACTCGCCCCATACTAGTACCCATAATCATCTCGTTCCCATTTTTAATTTAATACCCACTTTTAATTTAATTATAAGAATTTTAATATTTTTTTATGTGTGCTTATTTATTATAATATGAGATAGAGAAATAACCTAATTATGATTATAATATAAAAAATAATTTAAAAATATCAAAAATAATTTACAAAAAAAATAAAATAAAAAATTGACGGGTATGGGTACAAGTATACCCGATACCCGACGGAGACGAGGATGGAGATGAAAATCATATACCCGACGGGTACAAGTACAGGGACGGGGATGGGTTTGACTCGTGGGGACGGGGACGAGTATCATGAAACCTGTACATGACCTGCCCCGTTGCCATTCCTAGATTGAATGCTAATTTTTATTGATTAACATTTTATTTTTTACTATAGTCGATCGAATACTCATTTTAATTTATTAAAACTTATATTTTTCATTTGATTAAACTTTCACTCTTCAGAGTAATGAATTCATTCAAAAAGATCGTGTCACTTCTTGACACCCTTTGCGAGAAGGATCAAGATACCTTTTGACATTCTCAGCAATTAAAATGATTAGAAGTAAACCAATCCTTTTGAAAGCTAATAAAGACAAAGGACATATGGATGTAAACAACTCTGAGATATTCTAACAGAGATGATTAGGGCTTAATCATGAATACGAAATCAATTATCGACATATTATCTAATTGATAATCCTAACTTACGACCCATCAAAATGGGGGATTCATTAACATCAGTATAAATAATCTTATCTTAAAGTAAATTGACTTTTCATAATTTACATTTATTATACTAAATGAGTAATTTACTCGAGCAGCAAAGTGTCTTTTACAGGTGCACATTCCTCAACACATCAGTTTAAAGAGTGAAGAGAAACAAAGACATCGATTAAAAACAAGAAAGAATATCCTCACTCAGATCAAATACTCATTTTAATCGATTAAAACTTACATTCTTCAATTGATTAAACTTTCATTCTTTGATTAATTTTTTTCTCATAAAAATGTTTATGTAGATATTTAACTCCCCCTCCCCCACTAAAAGATCCTTTGATTTAATAAACAAATGAATGAGTTAGAAAATTATACAAGCTAGGTTTCTGGATGTCGGTCGGAGCTAGCAAAACCCTATCATATTTTTAAAAGAAGGAGAGAAAAGTAGAGGTGCTGCACATGCGCCAGTTCAGACAAAGACGTGTATCAAGCAGTCCACGCTTCACTCCTTGATTGGTGCATCCCAAAACCCAATAATTCCCTAGATTTTTGTTACCTCCACACTGGACCCCACACCCAAACACTAATCAATCTCTTCAATTTTTTTCAATACAATATGGGTAACGCTAACGCCTCTATATAATATCCAGATCCAAAGCCTCCCTCACTTCTCAATCTCACAAACCCAAAAACCAAAATGGCAAAAGCTTCTCTTTTTCTCACGCTTCTCTCAGCAGCATGCATAGTGGCAACAGCAACATCAACATCAGCATCAAGCCCCAGCAGCTTCATAAAATCGTCGTGCAGCAGCACGCAGTACCCAGCCCTGTGCGTCTCCTCGCTCTCGGTCTACGCGTCGAGCATCAAGCAGGACCCGCACGAGCTGGTCCAGACCGCACTGTCGGTGAGCCTGAACCGGACCGAGACGACGAAGGCGTTCGTGGCGAAGTGCAACCGGTTCAGGGGGTTGAAGGCGCGGGAGTACGCGGCGCTGAAGGACTGCGCGGAGGAGATAAGCGACAGCGTGGACCGGCTGAGGCGGTCGCTGAAGGAGCTGAAGCTGTGCAAGGGCAAGGGGGAGGACTTCACGTGGCACATCAGCAATGTGGAGACGTGGGTCAGCTCTGCCCTCACGGACGAGTCCACGTGCGGGGATGGCTTCGCTGGGAAGGGGCTTAATGGTAAAATCAAGGACTCCATTAGGGCTAAAATGGTAAATGTCGCTCAGGTCACCAGCAATGCTCTCTCCCTCATCAACCAGTATGCTGCCAAACACTAGCTACCAACACAAGGAATTAAGTAACGCTCCAAAAGTTTTTATGTTTTTTTTTTTATTTATTTATTTGGTTGTTGTTGGGAAACACATGTAGATGTAGCTTCAGTTCTGTGTGGTGGGTTACTTTTGTGCTTTATGTGGTGTGTGTTTGTAAGTACTAAGTAAGTCGGTCTCAAATCTCAATAGGAATATATATAATATGATATATCATATACGGGTCTTTGTGATGATGCTTCTCAAGTGTGATATATGAGATCTGTTTTCTTGCTCTAGCTTATCTACTTCGTGTGTTCAAGTTTTTTTTTTTTTTTTTTTTAATAAAAAAAATAAGCATTATTGAGTATATAGACTTGTTAGGATTTTCTTTCTTGGGATGAGAAAATTACAATTACGATGGCATTACACATGTTTTTACTATTCCAATTCCTTTTTTACTTACAGCTAATGCTAATGGTATTTGAATTTGATTAATTGTAATTAAATAAAGGTATGAAAAATATAAATTTTTTTTAATTTTTCTTAAAGAAATAAGCTAAAGGTAATTTAGTAATAATTTTAATATTTATTAAACTTTATTGCATATTTAAGTATTTTACATAAAGAAAGCACGAATGATAGAAGAGATTTAATTAAAAATAATTAATTATATGATAAAGATTAATTATAAATAAAATTAATAGTTATTTTTTTTTTATAAAATTATAATATTTCGATACATCATAATCTATTATTACTTTACCTTCAAAGGGGGTGGAAGGAATACCATTTTGAACTTAAGTAATATTAAGTGTTGATTTTTTTTTTATATTAATAATCTTACTCTTTAAAATGAATTACTCAATTAAGACAAGTTAAATTAAAATTTTTAAATAAGTGGTTGGTAGTGGAGGCTTAGAGATGATTTGGAATTTACTTAGGGCAATGGTATGAAGATTCTAAATTAAAGACCCAAGTCCAACAACCACAACCAGCTGTGAATTATGGAAGAATAAATGAAATCGAAGTCTTCAATTGTGAGCAATAAATACGGCAGCAGAAAGAAAAAAAAATAGTTGTAACTAAAGTTTGAAATGATCACTTGTTCAAACGGACCCTCTTTACTATACCCCACACCCATCACCCATCACATTAGAAACATAAATAATGTTACCAATACCACCAGCTAACAACACCTACCTTCTTTTTTTACCCTTCTTTTTCTCTTTACAAAAATAATTATTCACTCATTAATCATTGTACTTGTTTGATATTTATCAAAAAAGAGAGATATAAATATACCACCACTAATTGACATAATTAAATAGTAATAAGTTGTATTATTCAATTAAATTGTTGAAATCTTAACTTTTCATATGAAATAAATTTTATTTTGAGAAGAGTATATTCATTTTTTGTGTATATTTATAATTTATGATAGAGATTTATTAATATTTCGTAATTATATCATAATTAAAATAATAATAATAATAAAATACTTATATCAAAAACTCATTTTACATTAGTTAATTTTAAAATTGTCATCATATTTTTCCTACATCAATATTCTATTACTAACGTAAAAATTTATTATTAAATGTTATTTTTTTCTTTAACAAATATGATATCATAAATATCGTAATGTAATGTAATGTAATGAAAAAAAGATAGAGATAAAGATAAATAATAAGTGTTAATAAGATAAAAATAAATAACAACTTTTAATAAAGTGTCTAAAATTAATGAGCTTCAAGTACCTTAATCTTCTTTTATAATTCAATTGATATTGTAAGTCTAAAATTTCAAGTTGGTTCTCCTGAAAAGTTGATTATAAACTAGTGAAGGTTTTCTAGAATTACAGGCATTTAAATAAAGAAGAAATTTTCTAATTACTCTTTCTCATTAGAATTTAATTGAAATTAATTAATGGCCTATAGCTTCAAATTTTAGTTCATATTTAAGTTTATGAACATATTTTTTTAATAAAGTTTTACATACTTACTTTTAAAAAATAAAAATAAAATAAAATTTTACAAAAATTATAAAAATTTCTCACATTTTTTTTAAAATTATCGTAATAGTTAAATATCATATACTCATATATTAAAAAGATTATTTATTTTTGAAAACATTCCGTATTGAATTTTACCATATGCGAAAACTATTTATTATTTTGCATTTTAAGAACATTTTGAAAAGAAAAAAAAAAAAGAGAGAGAAAAGGATACTTAGCGATACAAAGGTAGATATATAACAAAAATTGTTGAAAAAAATAGATAAAAAACTAAAAAGAAAACAGATAAAGTAAAGGATAAACAGAAAATAAAAGGAAAAATATAAAAAATGACGTAATATAAAATACATATGAAAAAAAAAATATTTACTCTTCTAAAATGAGGAAGTGCACTTAAGAATAATTAATTATAATATCAATTATTAATTTTTCAATCAATAATCATTACATGTTTATAAAGTGTAGTTTCTTTATTTTATAGGAGTTAGATAAAAAAATATAAATATGAAATTAATTAAATTATATTGAGTATTTGTGTGTATAGTAAATGTATTTAGTTTTGTAATAATTAATTAAATAAATAATTTCAAACTTAATTTCTGATTTGTTAACGGTATATTATTTTTTACATTAACTATGAATGAAATTAAACTTTAAAATATATGTATGAGACAAATCAATTTCATTTCAAAATAAACTATTAGCTTAAAATATTAATAAGAATAAATAATATATTTACTAGAAGAAAATAAATATTTTGTTATTATCTTTTAATCAGAAACTTTTATATATGTGAAAAACATTTTCTTTTTGCACCAATCTAAAAAATATTTTAGAAGTCATATAAAAGATCATATTTAATTATTTTTTCATCAGTATATAATTTTCAATTATTTGATAGTGTAAAAACTTTTATATATATATATATATATATATATATAATGCGTAAGAAATATGATTGTAATGTGATTCATCTTATCAGATGCTTTGAACACAGACACGACAGAGG